GGACTTGTTGATATTATTTGAAATGTTATTTTGTGGCTTGATAAAAATTGTTATTTTATCATAAAATGAAAATTTGACGTAAATGGTTTTGATCTGAAAATTATTCCGATGGCTGCGGTCTATTTGGAATTATTTCATAAATGTTTTGGTGAAGAGATAAGGGTGGCATATCAAGGAGAGGTGTCCATTTGTTATAAGGGTGACATATCAAGGAGAGGTGTCCATTTGTTATAAGGGTGGCATATCAAGGAGAGGTGTCCATTTGTTATAAGGGTGGCATATCAAGGAGAGATGTCCATTTGTTATAAGGGTGACATATCAAGGAGAGGTGTCTATTGGATATAAGAGTGGCATTGTCTATGTGTGTGACTTTATATAACTCTTTCTATCATTTCCTTTAAGATTACCGAAATCTGGAATCTTTATTTCTTTGTGATTTAAAGATTTAGGATTAAGGTTCTTATTTGGAAATCATAGATTTGATGTTATTGAGGAGAAAAGATCTGTTTTGGCCTGAAACTTTGTTAAACCTCGTTATTAAGAAAAGATTTAAAAAGTGGCAATGTATGGAACCTGATTGGTTCAAAAAGTATGAGATTTGAATAAGCTATGTGATARCTTGAATTTGAGAAATGACTTGGTATTTTGGTATTATGAATTCATATATTTGTTATTTATATGAATACTTGATTTTGCAAATGTTTTGGTGATCCTTCACCCTGCAATGACATGAATAGGGTATCTCACTAGACTTTACAGTCTAACCCTCGTTTTTGTGATTTTAAATATGTGTTGCAGGTCGGGTGGAAGGTAAAAGAAAAGAAAAGATTTAATGCTTTTCTTACATGCATTTTGGTTGAAGATTTGCTTTTGATGCATAGCTCTGATGATTAGTACAAGATTGTATTTTGAATTTTTGGACCTTGTGTTTGGTCATAATAGATTTTTCTTGTACTAGTGGACCCAAATATATATATGAATATGTATTTCTTTGGTATGAAATATGTATTACATGCAATGTGTGGGTTGGGGCGTTACAATAATTTATTAATTAATATATACATATATATATGTATGTATGTATATATACATATATAACGGGTACGGGACGGGACGGGGAGTACCATACCCGTCCCCGTCCCCGACCGGAGCGAGTGGACCGGGTTCCCCAACGGGTCGGGGGCCATTCCCATGCCTAATAAATGCCACATTTAATCTTCATGAAATATATAATTGTCTGTATGTTTCTTGAACTTTTCTTTCAATAAACTTAACGTGAATGCAAATTTCTTATTAGAGTTTGTTTGGTTAGATTTAATTTGTTCATATATAATGATGTGATATTGTTAACATAATAACATATAAACCAACTCTTGAGGGTTATTTATTGTATAATTTGGTCCTAGATCCATAGAGTTTAGAGTTATTTGTTTAAAACTAATTAAGGGTTAATTTTTAGGCTTTAGGATTAATTAATTTAGAACTAACTTGGTAGGTTAATTAATGTGTGTGTATAAATATATATATATATATATATATATATATATACTATATTATAAAGCATTTGACAAAAAATCTTAAAAATCAGTTTTTATGCATGAAATACTGTATATTAATGCATATTACTTAAAATTCAAGATTACAAGTAAATTATGCATAACTACAACTTATTAAATCCCCATGTTTTGAATTCGTGTAACTAATTGCATATAAGCATAATCAAATAGAGGATAAACATCTTATTTTAAAATATAAAAAATCTAAAATATAATTAGGATAATTATCGAGTTCTAACACAATAATTTATCTATATTATATTATAAAATATTTGGCAAAAACTCTTGAAAACCATTCTTTATGCATGAAGTACTGTTAATTAATGCATAGTACTTAAAATTTAAGGTTACAAATAAATTGTGCGTAAATACAATTTATTAAAATTTAAAGCTTCAATTTTGAATTCGTATAACTAACTGCAGATAAATATAATCAAATACAAGATAAACATCTCAATTTAAATATAAAAAGTCTAAAATATAATTAAGATAATCATTGAGTTCTAACAGAATTATTAAAATATTATAAAAATTATATTGTTAATCCAAAATAAATTACTTCGCTGTTAAACATAAATTAAATTATAATAAAAAATAGAATTAAAGAAATTGTAAAAAAAACAAGAACTTTTAAAATTTTAATTTGATATTAATATCAATATATTTTTTCAAATTTTTATGATATCTTCAAATTTATTTTTATTTAAAAATAAAGCCATCATCTTCCTCAAAACCATATAAACCGTATTATATCAATATAGACAAAATAAAACGAAACATTAAAATGAATATGTATCTCATTGCATTGTACGAGTACCCTTCTAGTCTTTATAAGAAAATTATATTATTAAACCAAATATAAATTATTTCGTTACTGAATTTAAATTAAATTATAATTAAAAAAATTGAATTAGAAAATTACACAAAAAATGAGGAATTTTAAATAGTTGATTTGATACCAATATCAATATATTTTTGTCAAAATTTTATAATATTTTCAAATTTATATTTTATTCAAAAATAAAACATCATCGTTTTTTCAAAATCACATAAGACTATAATATAACATCGATGAAGATAAAGAATAAAATAAAATATTAAAATCAGATGTATCTCGCTGCATTGTGCGAATACCCTTCTAATATATATATATATATATATATATATATATATATATATATACACACACATGGGATTAACTTTTTAGACTTTAAGGTTAATTTATTTACTTATATCTTAGGTTAATATATTGTATCTCGACCCAATCATGTAGAACCATCCAATGAAAAACTAAAAATGTACCAATAATCAATTAGTTTTAAAGTTTTAAGAGAGATTTTTTTTTTAAAAGAATAGTGTGTCAATTTTTTAACGACTTACATATTTAATGGACCCAAAATAACCGAAACCGAAATCTGTGCAATAATCTTATAACTGATTTTTAAGTTTTTCATATTACGATAATTATTTTTTGATATTACTGCCAAAAAATCTTGGATCTACACGTAATCTATTTTTAAGGTCATGCTAGAATATACGACCATATTGTTTTGGAGGTTTCTTCTAAAAATGATACGGGTTCATTGAAAGAAATCGTCAATTACTAGCTACTTAAATGAACGATCGACTTGCAAAAAAACCCTAGGCAATGACGGAAAGACGACCAAGAGAGTTTGAGGTTGATTCGTCTGAATGTAATTAGACCCGCGAAGGTGATTGTTGAAGGGATAGTGAGTGGTGGCCATAGAAGCAACGATAACTGTTCATTTCTTGTGATATCTCGTATGAATAGTAACGTTTTTTTTTTCAAAATATTTTGAGTGGAAATTACGTATTGCTATTATTATCTTTTAATATATTGTCCGTGCTTAGTTTAATTATACCAAATTAGGGTTTTTATGATCCCGTTGAAAAAAAAAAACGAGGTTCTTTTCATATGTATATAATCATGTTATTCATGACTACTTTTTTGACAGAAAGCTGTTGTTTTCAGGCTAAACAAGAGACAAATATGTGCTTTTCATATTAACGTAACATGTGTACATGTACTATTATAAAATGATATATGTGCATTTTTAAACGGAGAAAAAACCGATCATAGTTAACTTTTACGATATCGTATCAATGTATGCATGTATGTTTTAGACCATCTAATCCGTAAGTTTAAAGTCGTAAATTAACATCAACTTGCACTATAATAAAATCGGGTTTATAAGAGAAAAATAACTAAGTGTCCTAATAGATTGCTTTATATGACCAGACAATAAAACGTCTTATCTAAAATTGTTATAATAAGTTTATAAGTTTTTCTTAGGACAGTTATAAAAAATATCTTGTAAAAAGATATTTTATAGGATAAGTGCTCCATAAACAGTTAAAATTTTAAAAAAAGTTCTAAAATTTGTTACGACACCCAGATTAACATCTTATAAACTTATTATAACACTTTTATACATGATACTTTATCATTTGGTCTTATAAACGTAAGTCGTACAAAACAGTCTATCAGAATACTTCGTCATTTTTGACGTCCTATAAATCTGATTTTGTTGTAGTGTTAATAATTACAAAAGCATATTATTACAATATTGATCGATCTTATTTTTCAGTTAAAAATAATTTAAAAGATTGTAAACATTTAAATATATACTTTAAAACAACTCATGATTTCAACCACAATGGTGGTGTCTGATTAGTTTGAGCATGAGCTCCAAATGTCAAAGTACCTGGAGGTCTCAAAAATCCCCTTATGGCCACAAAGGTTCAAATGCGGTGAATCCGGGCTACCCGCAAAGCAGGTGATCACCCTAAAATTAGTCGACTTACATAACGGGTTGGATATCCATCATGGTTTGAAGAATAAAAGGGACAAGGTTCAATGATCATAGACAAAATGCAAAACATGTAGTGGCAACTATTGTCATGCCAAAGTAGATATGGTCTTGTGATTCTTGTGTTAACACAAAACTTTTCCCCTTTATAATTTGTTTATGACCAATTGCACCCTTTTTCTTCCTTACCTTTCTGGTATAATAATATTAATTTATATATTTAAAATTTTATTTTTTGTATGAACAAATAGATGTACACCAAAATTTGATGTCTTACTTTATATGGTTAAGATCCAAATGGGAATATTGAGTTTTAAATGTACTGTATAGTTCTTAATCAATACAATATATTTGTAAAATAGGTTAATTGCGGTTAAACGGTTTAAGAGTTACGTCTCTCATACAGAAAACATGAAATTACATTGTTAGAATTATGCAACTATAATGTCAACATTTTGCAACATTAAGCCATTCTTGATTCCGAATTGAGCACAAGATAATAGTATCTAGTCATGTATCGTTTTTAAGTAATAATTTAAGTATTATATATTGTTATCGGGTATATATATTTATATATCTATATAATGAGAGGTTCAAATAATAAGAATAAATATCGCAAGAATGTAATCCATATTAATAAATAATAGAAACATCTGTTCACATATATCTAAGATTTTTCTAATAATTTACGTATGAACCTTCACTCAAGCTCTCGTTCTTACATATTCTTGTTATATTTAGTGTTTTTATTTAAGTAAACACTTATTTAGATATTCTCTTGATTTATATTTGATACATATAGTTTGAACCTGAAAGATGTATCTATACATATATATATATATATACATATAGGGTTGGGTTTTTCGTGAGACCCGTATGACCAATTTATATTCATTGTTTGACTTTATAAGCTAATGATCTAATGGTCTAAAATTGCACGATGACAATTTTGTGATTATTGAGAAACGTGACAATTTTGTGATTATGAATGTTCAGATTGTAGATCTAATACAAGGGTTATGAATTGATCTTACGGGTCTCACGAAAAACCTTTGGTCTCACATGATCTCAAGTCTATACATATATACATATATATACATATATACATATATATATATACATATATATATGTGTGTGCGCGCGCGTATTCAAGTTCAAAATTACAATATATCAAACACAATGATCAAGATAATATATAGAACATATGGCATTAATTATTAAGTAAAATTTATTATTCTTACCAGCAAAAGAACTAATAAATGAGTTCATATCAACATTGTGCAGACATGTTTATAGTATACATGCATACATACATGTATACATATTTAAACGAAAACGTTAACTATTTAAGAAAACAAGAAATAAATCATTAATATACAAAATCACATGTGATTTTACGTTAACGTCAAAAAAATGGAAGTAAATGACTTTTGCCACGACTAAGTCGCGGGAAAAGTTGCAACGAATCATGCATGATTTTGTATGTGAATCGTATGTGATTTTGTACATTAACAACATTTTTCTCGTTTTTCTTAAATAGTTAGCGTTCTCGTTTGAAACTGCCCCCATATACATAGTATATATATGTATATAATATATATATATATATATATATACACACACATATATACATATATATGTCCTTTAACAGTATTAATGGGTGTTTAGATTTGATATTTCATGTTCATATTGATATGTTCAATTATGAAATAAATCTAAAATTAAAATAAATTAAGAAAGAAATAAAAACTGAATTGCAAACCAGAAGATTTGGGAATAATAATGTGTACATTAAGATGTATAGAATCCGACTATACATTCCCTAAACCCTACCTTCAATTCTCTTTCAATAATCCCAAATTGCACTGCACACACGAATACACACACTAAAAAGCACGCACGCACGCACGCACACCAATCTCTATGCAGTAACTTCTGTTGCAGAATGTGAAGACGCTTCACGAATCGAACAAGCAACCACTAGTGCCCACAGCTTCAGTCTCATTTTCACTTTTTGGGGATCATCGTCTATGTAATATTCATATCAATGAAAACAAAAGAACTTGTTGAAACAAAATTCGGATAAATTGAATTATTCTCAATCAACACAATAATCAGAACTAGAGAATCTCTTACTTGGATCAACAATGAGGTTTGAAGATGCATCGGAATTAGATGAAGATTCAGAGTCGATAGACGAAGATCTCGATAGATTCTGGTTGTTAAACTGCCGATTAACATCCGCATACAACTCGAGTGCAGGAAAAGCTTTTGCTAGTTTCGGATCCAAGTCGTTAGACGGATCGAATCCAAAACCGAGCTCGAAACAAGCTCTTAGTTCCTTGATATCATCGTCAGTGACGTCAACATCAGAAACAGCATCAAGGCTTTTGCTACGGCGGAAACGGCTTCGCTGGTTGATCTTCAGCATCTCCCATTCTATGTGGCGATGAATGTCCGGAGACCAGGAGCGGTTTTTAAATAGAATCGCAGAAGACTTGTTGGCGTCGGCCATTACCACCGTCCGCGGCGGAGGGCCAAGAGTCGGGAGAATGAGGGAGAAGAGGGTTTACAGGAAGCGAAAATACTATATAGAGAGAGTTCTGTGGGGTCCAGCGAGGAGTTCGAGTTCTGATACGGTACTAACGATCATAGATTCACTTTGGTGGGGCATAGGATTAAAAAAACTCTGTGGGCCAAACTTTAGACTAAATTACATTTGTGGTCCCTGTACTTTAGATGTAATGCCTCAACTCCCCAAATTGAAATCATTAGATATTTTGTAAGGTCTTGGTTCTTTATTCTAACCGATTTCAATTTTTTTTCTGTTAACCTAATTAATTCAAAGGGTATTTTGGTTATTTCATCATATTCTAATAATATGTATTAACCTAATTAATTCAAAGGGTGTTTTGGTCATTTCATCATATTCTAATAGCATGTATTATATATGTATACATATATACTCAGTGAGGAGGGGACGACCTTCGTACAAAGAAAATGAGATTTTAATGGGTGCTCCTTTTCGTCATGCCGCCTCCATCTCCGGTGGCATCCTCCTATGCCATCATCTCTTCATTCCAATACATACACATCTACAAGATTCACGACCTCCCTGTATACTCCCCTTCAGTGTGCTCCCGTCTTCCCCCATTTCCCTTCTCCGACCCCATTTGACTCAAATGAGTGCATACCCAGGAGATCACCACCTTTTGCCTCTACCCCTTACATTACAACCCCATTGTCCTTCACCTTCTAACCCCATGACCATCTTCGATGAACCCACATCACACCTCTCCCGCCCCCTACAACGCGTACACACAAAGAGACTCCCCCTTTTAGGGAATTCAGATGAAACAAATAGAAAAGGAAAGACAAGTGTTGATTGTAAGTGAACAACCAGAATTGGAAGAACAAAAGAAGCGTTGCAAAATTCCACATACTTTGTGGGTGAGTATAAATAATTCCTTTCACGTTTGATTGTAAGAGTGGTTGATTGTGCTTCATGTAGAGGGGGGATGAAATCATTGGCTCAATACGATTCAATCGGAATTGAAGGGGTCAGATCGGGTCATGTGGCGGCAAGCGAGGGGCAACCACCTCTTTCATGTTGGCCTGAGCATCTCATCCAAATCACTTCTCCTTTTCAAATGAACTATGACGTGACTCAACAAATTCATAACATTGCAAAACTGAAGCTCAAGGTCTATGTATGTTTGTGTTGTTCTCTTTCTCTATGTATAAGTGTTTTATGTGTGTAAGAACAAGAAAAGGGAATCCAGGGAGTAGGGACAAGGATGAGAGGCACAAGAAGGTGAAGAACTGAAGATTAGTGGGGATTGTGTGTGTGACAGAAATAAACCGGCCAGTATCGAAGAAGAACCAATGGAAGGGGACATATCAATTGGAGGGAGGGGTCATTTAACATGTCGGTTTCACAAACACGTGGCATCATTTTTACATGGAAATTAATGTTAAAATCAAGATGTATTTCGCTGCATTGCGCGAGTACTATTCTAGTATTAGTAAAACTTAATGTTAATCTTGTATCTTAAACATGTTTATAGTTCGTTATAGGTTAGTTTTATATAGTTCAAACATATTAATAAGTTGTATATATATAATAATAAATTGTAAATAATGTATATTATGATAAAAATATTGTATAAATATACTTACGGTTGAAATTTTGAAAACCGAATTAAAAGAACTGGAGAAAAAATATATCACAAGTGTATCAAATTAAAAAGAATAAAAATCTTGTTTTTATGCAATTTTTAGAACTGAAATTAATTATATATAAGATTTTTTTAGATTATTGAAATTGAAATAAATATGTGGGTTTCTAAAATTTGATGTCATTATAACAAATTTGGGTTTTTAGAACGCTTAAAATATCTGAATGTCTTTCTAATATGATATATAGAACTTAACTTTATAGAAACAAATAAAAAACATCATATCTAAAAGTGCTATAATAGGTTTATAAGATGCTTTCGGATATCTAACAAGTTCTTTAAGATACTTTTAAAATAAAGTGTCGTATTATTTATTTTATACCACATTATTTGAAAAGATATCATATAAACATAAATATTCTATAAAATAGCCAATACAACACTTTATTTTTAAAAACATTCTAAAATACTTGTTGAAACACCCAAAAACATTCTATAAATCTATTGTAACACTTTTAGATATGTTACTTTATAGTTTGGTCCTATAAACTTATAAGTCATATATATATATAAAGTATCATATTAGAAAAATTAGACATTTTAGACGTGTTATAAACACAAATTTATTATAGTGTGCGCTTATATGGAAATGGTAATATAAAAATTTAAAAATATTTAAGCTTATATTTTTATTGTTTTCTTTTAACGTATATTTTTATTTTCTATAAATAGGTAAAATAGAAATATTATAAAAAAAATAAAAGATTTTATATGTATTCTTAATTTATATACAGTGCCTTAATATTTTATATCATTTAAAAAAAAAAAAAACATGAATATTTTGTAACATATGTAGGGGTGTTTGGGATTGCTTATTTGAAACAACTTATGTTTTTCTACAAAAACACTTATCAACTTATTATAAGTCAGAAGAGTTTAACTTCTTCAAAAACTTCTTATTACCGGTTTGACATCGGTATAAGTTGTTTATCCAAACACTCAAAAGTGTTTATTACCGATGTCACACCGGAATAAGTTAACAAGTTATTTTTATAAGCAATTCGAATAGTATAGGTATTTTTTTTAAACGAAATTTTATAGATTAATATATAGAAAAGAAACATGAATTCATGTGATATTTTCCATATCAACATCACCTTTAAATAAATAAAGTAGTAATAAATGTTTTTACCAAAAAGGGTTATAATTAATTTGATTTATCAATAAATATAGTTGTAATTCAAATGGAATTTATTACATAATTTAAAGTTTTTGTAAAAGGAAATTAATACAAAAAATTCATATATGTGATTTGAAAGCAATTATGTGATAGAGATTGGTTATTATATAACATTTGACATTTRTRCAAYCAATACAACTCAATCTCAATCGTTCATTTCATTTGATTAATATGCGATTTCATAGAAGTTTTGATTATTTTCTAATATAAAATATTGATCATAATTAATAATCCATATTCATCTTTCATAAATATTCAAATCATAATAAATGAACTCTCATCATTTCCATAAACATCTCAATTTATTGGGTTGCATTGGTTGTACAAATACGATGAGTTGTATTTGAAACAAACTCTTATGTAATATTAAGTTGTTAGAATTAGACAATCAATTGTAGTAAAACGTAATACAGAAAATACTGTTTTAAATAACACGTTACGGCAGTGCTAAGAAGCGTTATGGCAACGAGGCAAGGCATGGTTTGGCACCGAGTTAAGGCATGTGGTGTTACTGTAAGGCGTGGATTGCGGTACGACGAGTTACTCATGGCTGAAGGTATATCATGGCATGGGGACCTTTTTATAATATTTTTTAATTTAATTTAGAATTATTATAATTGTTAATTATGTATGGGACATCTTGACTTCTTAAATTTAAATATACGAAAAAACCGTCAAAAGTTAAAACCCTAAATCCTTCTACCGAACACGAAATCACAAAGATGATGAACAAATGAAGAATTGAGGCTTGGCGATCAAACAAAAACCCAACAAAACCCTACAACAAAATTGATTTTATAGGACGCTTAAAATTAAGAAGCATCTTAAAAAGATGCTTTATAGGACTTAAGTTTATAAGATCAAACCAAAAAAACGTGTTATCTAAAAGTGTTACAATAGGTTTATAGGTTGCTTCTTCGATATTTAACAAGTTTTTTATGACGCTTTTAAAATAAAGTGTCATATTAACTATTTTATACGACATTATTTGAAAAAGTATCATATAAACGCAACTGTCTTATAAAAATATAATATGACACTTTATATAAAATGCATCATAAGAAACTTGTTTAAATGCTTAAAAACGTCCTATAAACCTATTATAACGTTTTTAAATATAACGTTTTATAGTTTGGTCTTATAAACCTAAGTTCTATAAAGTATTTTATTAAGACGTTTAGATAATGTAGGCATCCTATAAAGCCAATTTTGTTGTAGTGTAGCTATCAAACCATGGATGTTAGCATTCTCTTGATGCTAATAGAGCTGGCACAATCATGGAATGCTGCTATTGCTTACGAGGATGAGGAAATGGAAGAAACTGGTAGTTTGAACGTTACAGATCATAGGCTAAAGAACTACATGAGGATGATTTTGAGTCGAATAAAGAATTACAAGGTGAAGGTAATATTGATTAGATTAGATTAGATGTATATAGATTATGGGATGGTGAACCATTCATAGAACATCCTTTTTGTTATAATTGGTCTTACGGGTCTCACGAAAAACCATTCGTCTCACATGATCTCAAGTTTCTTTCGCTCTCTCTCTCTCTCTCTCTCTCTCTCTCTCTATATATATATATATATATATATATATAGGAAGGGTTCAAACAAGAACCCTTGTGATTTACGAAAATGCGAGAACAACCTATTAACCTCATATTGTGATAACAATAAAAATTAAAAGATTTTTTAAATTAAAACAATTTAAAAAATTTGAAAGGCAAAAGGGTAATATTGGAATTCAAAGTGATAAAATTTTAAAAACACGATCACACTAAAGCCAATAATTTGGATAACATAATGAACTATTATGGTTATCGCTTATTTCAACACGATTTGATATGATTTGGTTGTGATAATCATGTGATTATCACACAATTATCACAAGGATTCCGCTCGGCTAGGGTTAACTTAGGAAATTGACTACCGATTTGGTGTGATAATCATGTGATATCACTATCATAACATCGCACTCGATTTGATCATGGTTTCGATCGGTTAGGGTTAGACAATCACACATTTATCATAATGATTACTCATGGTTTTGATAGGTTAGGACTAGACAATCTCACATTTATCACAACGATTACGG